AATAAAAGTGGCCAAGTAGTTCCTTGCGGTATTTTTGTATATTGTACACTCTTCCAATAAACAGCGTATGTGGTTTCACAGATAAGAATTTTTTTAACATTATTTTAGATAGAGAGGCACAAGTGAGCAGGAGACAGGGATGGATGGAGGGATCGAAGGATTGAGGGACGGAGGGAGAGGGAGAGAAAAAGAGAAAGAGAGAGAGAGAGAGAGAGAGAGAGAGAGAATCCCAAGCAGATTCTGTGCTGTCAGCACGGAGCCCAACACGGGGCTCAATCCCTGGGCCCCAGGATCATTACCTGAGCTGAAATCAACCCCCCCAGATAAGAACTTTTTAAGGCACTATAGTATAATCTGGACAACTCCAGAAAGCAACTCATACTTCATCTGCATGATTAGGCAAAATTTGTTTCACAGGTTGAGATTTCTGGGTTTTATCTTTAAGAAAAAGAAAGCACCTCAAAATTTATCTACCTAGGCTAAAAGTTCAGAGGACAAAAGTCAAGTAGTACTTACCCTGAAGTAGAAAACAAAAGGAAAACTCAAAAGAGAATAGGGCAATCTATAAAACAAAATAGTAAATAAGATAGGAAAACTAGGCAATAGCAGTCAACACTGTCCAATAGAGCATGTTTCAGATTAGTTTGGCATCTGTATTCCAAACTTTCATTAATCACCTCAAAGCCTATAACTCTGCCTCAATCTCTTTCCCTCTTGCCTCCTTCATCCTGAGGGGTGAAAAAAAAAGGATTCTTTTAACTATCTGTGTACTTAAGAATTTTCCAAATACTTAGTTATTCCTTAGCCCTGCCCTCTAGTGTCAAAAGATAAAATATCCTGCAGGGCAACTGGGTAGAGCAGTCGGTTAAGCATCAGACTCTTGATTTTGGCTCAGATCTCATAGTTGATGACATCAAGCCCCGAGTTGGGGGTCTGCGCTGACAGTGTGGAGCCTACTTGGGATCCTCTCCCTGTCTCTCTGCCCCTTCCACTTCTCTCTCTCTCCTTCTCTCCCTCTCCTCCCCCCGACTCTTTGTCTCTCCAAAGTAAATAAATATTTAAAAAATATATCCTGCTATTACTTAAGAGTAATTTTTTCACTGGTTCACCTTCATCCCACCCATTCCATCATCATCAATTCCCTGCTTTGGTTGTATTATCAACCTTTCCTTTACTGGCCTCTTATTCAACATGTAAATATGTTCAAAGTCTTTCCATCTTAAAAATACAAAAGTTCTGCCTCCACACTACAAGCACTTCACACTCAATAGCCAGAATGAACTTGTCCAAAATACAAACCCTATTAATTTGATATTCTTGCTGAAAATTGCTAAAGAGTGCCCCATTACCTTCGGGCAAATTTTCAAAATATTAAGATTTTATTTCTGACCAACAAATGTTCCCTCACTGTGCCACTTTCTGTCATGTGCTTATTCAAGCTGTCTGTAATTTTTCCATTTATTCTCCAGGTACCTGTGACTCATTCTCCAGTATTGGGCACAAACAACACTGCCTCATATTTCCTGCCCATACTCTCAGACTGAGATACCAGTCTTTTGTCAGTGTTCTCTTTTTATCCTCCCATGACCTCTCATGCATCCTCTGGTGCAATCTGTTTTTCTCGCCTGTCACTTTCTCTGTACCATGAGTACACTGAAAGTGAAGACTGACTTGTTCAACTCTGTAGCAACACCTTTCACAGTATTCAACAAATGACTATAAAGTGAACAAATGATAGATCAGCAGCAAAGATAGTGAAGAGCTGATCCTGTAAAATAAGTTTGAAGCAAAAAAGACTTCATGATTCATGTGAACAAGTGTCAAACTGATTATCATTTCTAATATCACTTTATAACATCTAAAGCAATTGTTTTATGGGTTTACAAGGGAGCCAACAAAATAGCCTGTCTTCCACTGGGCCTTGTTATATGCTGATGTAGATCATCAGCCTAGGATAAAATAGACACAAAGAAAATTCAGTGCTAAAGATGATGCAGACAGATGGAATCAGAGCCTTGAATGAACTACATCTGATCACTGCTTTATCACTGAACTTGCAAAGTGGCCCCAAATTCCTCCCATCCCTATATGCATGCCCCTTTACAATGTGATTTAATCACTCTTTCCTAGAAGAGGTGTAGTCTTTCTCCAGCCCTTGAATCTGAGCTTGCGATATGACATATTTTGGCTAATGACACATTAGTAAATATGATACAGCAAAAGCTTTAAAAGCACTTATTCAAGCTTACCTTCCAGGCAAGGTTTCAGACACTTGAGCGAGGCCATTCTAGAATATCCAGCCATAACAAATCCAGCCCCAAACCACAAAAAATGCCTCACCAACATACAGAATGTTGAGAAATAAGTATTTGTGCCTTTAAGTCGCTAAATTTTGGATAGTTTATTACACAGTGTTATTGACTGGGTGTTTCTGTGCCCCCAAATTAATCTGTGGAAGCCTTAATCCCCAGGGTAGCTATATTTGGAAAACAGGCCTTTGATGAAGTAATTAAGGTTAGATGAGGTCATAAGGGTGGGGCCGGATAGAACAGGATTAGTGTCCTAGTAAGAGGGGACACCTGATTTCTTTCTTTGTCTCTCTCTCTGTCTCTTTCTCTTTCTCTCTCTCTCTCTCTGCCAACTGCAAACCAGAATAGACTCCTCACCCGAAACTGACTTTGCTGGACCTCAATCTGAGACTTCGAGACTCCAGAACTGTTAGAACTGTCTGTTGTTTAAGCTTTCCAATCTGTGGTATTTTGTTATGGTAGCCTAAGCAGACTAATACAGCACAGTGAACTGACATTATAATGAGTCTTAGCACCAGCCCTGCTAATTATTTTTAAAAGATTACTACTAAAAACTGTTCTTTTTTGAGATGTAATTCAAATTTTAAGTTAATGTTTTGTTTTCAGCTAATAACATGTTGCCTTTTGTTGTTGTATCTCTTCATCTACTCTCACTGAACCATGAAAGTTCTTTTCTGAATGTCTAACATCAGACAGAGTAAAAAAAAAATCTGTGTCTATCCATCAACCTAGAATGTTGCTACTGTCACAGGGTATTAGAGCAAGGTATTCACATTAATTAATTCAAATATTTGAGTACCTACTATTTAACTTGGCAATGGCTATAATAAGGAAGAAAGAAAACATAATCCCAACTCTGAATTCTATTGAAGGAAAGAAACAAACAACATGGACAGTTTGGAGTAAAGGCTATAGACTTACCATAGGTTCTATCCACTTTAACATAATCTATAGCTTCACATTTTATACACTAACACCCCTAAAACCATCTTTCCAAATACCAAAGTCAGGCTTTCAGATATCAGTATACTAATAACTTCGAGACATAACATGGTGGTACTGCTAGGTTTATTATTTTACCAATACAGCAGAATGCATACCATTATCTTAACTATTTTATTAGTTCAGTAAATATTTGTCCGTTACCACAAATTTTATATTATTTTGCTTTTATTTTTTAAAATTCAGGAAAATGATAAAATCAAAAGGCTGATAGCAGCAATAACACAATAAAGAAAAGATGGAACTCAAATATACTGAAAGCAGGAATCTTTGGTCAGCTGACCATGTGTTCAGTTTTCAAGTAAAAGACAAAGTATATAACCATAGGTGCACGCACGCATGTGCTCTCTCTCTATATATATGTATACACACACACACATATATATAAAGTCAACTAGAAGTAATGAAAGAAGTGGAGAAACCTTTGGAATTATGAACTGTTCATTATGAATAAAATAGTAGTAATCCAAATACAAAAGAAGAGACTTGGATCCACACAGCTCTTCATGAAATGCTAGTTATAGATTCCTTAATCATTTCAAGATGTCAACATGAGAATAGAGATAAGAAATTACTTGTAAAGGGGTGCCTGGGTGGCTCAGTTGGTTGTGCATCGGACTTCAGCTCAGGTCATGATCTCACAGTTCATGGGTTCATGGGTTCGAGCCCCTTGTCAGGCTCTGTGCTGACAGCTTGTCAGAGCCTGGAGACTGCTTCAGATTCTGTGTCTCCTTTTATCTCTGCCCCTCCCTGTTCATGCTCTGTCTCTGTTTCTCAAAAATAAATGTAAAAAAAATTTTTTAATAAAAAAAATTACTTGTAAAAATTAGTCAGAATAGGTAAATCTATAAAGACAGAAAGTGGATTACTGGTTGCCTGGAGCTGGAGTGGAAGAATGGTGAGTGACTCCTAATGGGCACATGGTTTCTTTTTGAGGTGATAAAAATGTCCTAAAATTGATTGTGGTGATAGCTGCACAACTCTAAATATACAACAAACTAATAAATTATAAGCTTTACATGAGTCAATTGTATGGTATGTGAATTATATCTCAAAAAATATATTGCTGATTAAAAGCTTTAACTTGAAAGCCTCAACAGTTAACAAAAGATACTAATATGTCAATATTTAGTGTTTAACTGGGCTCTTTTTTTTAATTTTTTTAAGTTTATGTATTTATTTTGAGAGAGCAGTGGGGGAGGAGCGAGAGAGAGGAAAAGAGAGAGAATCCCAAGCAGGCTCCCCACTGACAGCAGAGTCCAGAGCCTGATGCAAGGCTTGAACTCAGAAACTGTGCAATCATGACCTGAGCCAAAACCAACAGTCGGACCAACTGAGCCACTCAGGCACCTCAAGACTCTTCTTGTTTTAAATAATCATGTCCATTATTTCAAGATTTAAAAATAAGTAAAACACTTCTATCATACAACCTTACCATTTTTTTACTACCTTGGAAAAAGAACATTCTTCCTGAAACAAGTAAATCTATTGTTCAATCTTTATATCCTCCATTTTCATATAGATTTTCAGGAACACATGTAAGTGTAGATAGCCTACATAACATCATAAGTCCTATAACCAAAGCATGAACAAAGACTTGAGGAAGTACAGTGATTGTAATAAATTATCCTTACACAGTTTACTATTATCTCTTTAATTAGAGGACTTTCCTATCAATCTGCAACTTACCTGCATCATAACATTTAGTGCATATTTTTGATCTTCTCGCCTTGCTGCAGCTTTTGCTTCTGTAGCTTCTTTTGCTCTTTCTTGTGCTTGTAAAATAGATTTTTCCCTTATTCTTTGCATCATCTCTTTGTCAACTAAAACATAAGAAATATCACTAAATTAGGATTATGATGAATGCTTTATTTAGGAAAAAACTGTCTGACATACTGATCCAAGATGAGATTTTGGGAGGGACCCAATTTCACATGGAAAAATGAAAACATTTTTCAATATTAAACTGGCCAAGAAGCTAACATTAAAAGGCAAGCAAGCAACTGTAACAGCAATAAATTACTACAGAGGGAGATAATGATGGGGCGTGGGGGAGGAGGATGAGAGAAAGTAGGAACAACAGAAAAGGTAAATAAGATGGGAACGATGAGGATGGGGAGAGGGACATAAAAGTGAGAGAAAGGGTAATGAAATGAGAGAGGGAAAGAGGTGCAGAGAGGGGGAGGGGACAGGATGGAGGGAAATGTACACATTTATCCCCCTCCCTCTCTGTCAAGAAACCAGGACTATTTGCTTATAAACCTAATCACAATAAATATCACATGAGGTCTCCTACAAGAGGAGGGTTTTTTTTTGTGATGTACTAACATGTGCTTCTTCATTAATGCATTAAATAATATATAACAACAAGTGTAATAAATACTATACTCTCAAAGTATTTTAATGAGTATAAAAGATAAAGGTACTTGTGATATAAATGTATTTGTGATATTTGTATTTTTGATACAACTGTTGTCTGTTGCCTACATTCATAGTTGAAGGGAATGCTAAATTTCAGTGGAGGTTCAATTGAATTAGGGGCAATCCTCTCTCTCTGCAAAGATAGCTTTGCTACTATTCTTCCTTTCTAATCTTATATTTTAATAAACTTTTGCCTGTTGTTCCAAAAAAAAAGTATGGAATTAAAAACAAATTTTAAGTCTACTTATTTATTGGGGGGACGGAGACACGGAGGGGGAGAAGGGAGAAGGGGAGAGGGGGAGAAGGGGAGAGGGGGAGAAGGGGAAAGGGGGAGAAGGGGAGGGAAGAGGGGAGAAAAGGGAGAGAGGCGGAGAGAGGCAGAGGGAGGGGGAGAGGAAGAATCCCAAGCAGGCTTCACACTATCAGTGCAGAGCCCAGCATGGGGCTCAAAACCATGAACTGTGAGATCATGACCTGAGCCAAAATGATGACAAATCAGATTTTTAACTGACTGAGCCACCCAGGCTCCCCTGGAATATTAACTTTGAAAGAAACTGTCTTAAAAAGAAAAAAAAAAAAGCATGGCATTTTTATTCATTCAAGATCTTGACTAGGGCTTAAGGACTAAAATTAAGTCTGAAGCCTCCCCCAACCCACTTCCTGTTTAATAACAGAGTGGAGACAGCTGGACCGGCTTTAAGGGCAAAAATAATTAAAAGAACCTACTTTCACTTCTAAAAAATGAAAAATATACCAAGAAAGAAGTCAGGAGGAAAAAATGGAGCAAATATGTTTTGAATAATGAGTCAGGCTTGGCATATAGACTGCAGTTCCACATAATTTATGTGAAAACCAGTATTTTTAAAGAAATAATTTCACTGAATTGCATGTGTAACTGAGTTTGATTTCTAAAGGAATCTCAAACCTTGTTTCTGAAGTAAAATCAATGTTCATTACTTGTTATATAAGCTAGTTTTAAGACTGTTCTGATTAGTCTAAATCAGAGGTTGGGAAACTACGGCCAAATCTCACCTGCTGCCCATTTTCCTCTAGCACACAAGCTAAGAATAATTTTTATATTTTTAAATAGTTGAAAAATCAAAATAATATTGTGTGACATATAAACACAAGATAAAATTCAAATTTCAGTGTCAATAAACATGAATGGTCTATTGGCTGCTTTTGAGACCATATGGCCCATAATATTCAAAATACTATCTGGTCCTATATAGAAAAATATTTCTTAAACCTTGGTTTAAATGGTCAAAGTGTGGAATGGATGACCATAAGACCATGAAAAAGAAGAATCAAGTAAATGTGCAATGAAAGCAGATGTAAAAAACAAAGAGGAAGATCATGGTTAGGAAAG